AAATAAATAAAAAAATTAATAAAAAAATAAATAAAAAAATAAATAAAAAATAAATAAATAAATTCTTTGTTAAACTATAAAATGATTTTTGCAAAGATTCTAACTAGTTCACGTCTGGACCATTGTTTAAGCGAAGCAAACACTATTTTGGTATAAACTCGACCTATTTTTGTTCATTTACAGCTAATATAAGACTGTAGTGTTTTGAGCCATTGAATATTATTATTATATTAAATTAATTCTTATTCATTAAAATGAACTGTTCGTCTACCAAAATCAGCTAGTCAACATGTGGTCCATTTGTAATCGGTTTAAGACTAGTATATTATAAAATTACCGTTAAAACGAATAAAAAAGATTTTGATACAAAAACAAACTAGTCCAATTTATGGCGATTTGGCACTAGTATGAGACTATTCTATATATAACTGAAAATTAAAAATTACCTCGTGCATACGAAAAAATAATAAAAAAAAATATGTAACTAGTTTCAAAGTAGTTTTAAACTAGTTCACTTGCCTACTGTGCATACATAACACATCCTTTAATCTCTAGCAAACATTCATACATACATATATCATTACACATTATGTGAATGCGCACGTACATACATACGTACTATTGTTGTACTGTTTAATTAGTCGCATTAAATGTTGCTATAATTATAGTGCATTGGCATCGTTGAATCAGCACAAGACAACAACAACAATAATGTACCGACACGATTTACTGGTAAAGTGCGATTACTTAGATTTATGTACATAAATATATGCACGTATGTAAATATGTATTGTATATACATATGTAGGTATTCTGTAACTTAATTTGCATGCCATCGTTTATAATAACAATCCTGCGCTCATATATATAAATATACTTATATATATATGTAAGTGTGTTTGTAAATATTCCTCAATAAATTGTTTACTTTCCATAAAACTGGCACGTACACAGTTTTTCTGATAAAAATAAGAAAAAAAAAGGAATTTTACATGCGATTTGTAGAGTTCTTAGTAACAAGTTTTTTGCTTTATTCTACAGTACATATGTATATACATACATACATACATGCAATTTCTATATATGCTATATATATGTTATGCAGATGACTTTTTTTTAATTACGCTAGAGATAAGTAATGTGATAAATTGCATAGCCATTACCAGTTGTTGTCTACATTTGTCCTTGACATAGTGTCAAGGATAATGTTCGCTCGCATGTTGTGATAAATTTCTTACAGATAACCCTTTTGCCACTGAATTCTATAGAAATCCATTAAATGATATGCAATTTTTTGTTTAAAAATAATTATTATAAAGTATGTGCTTGTATATGTGTGTGAGTGTGTGTGTGTGTAAAGCAGATTATGACTAAAAATATACCGTAAATGATAAATCAGGCTGGAAGTTCTGGGAAAACCATTTCTATTTTGACACCAGTGCGGCCGCTTCTAACTATCAAACAATTTCTTTCTGGAATCAACTTTAATACGCGCCGGGTATGCTGTTTTATGGCTGCCATCGACTGAATATACCGACCCCCCTGCGGGTTAGGGGTTCAAGAATTTACCCGTGGTTAGGCATGCCTGTCGTAAGAGGCGGCTAAAATCCAATAGTTCCCGCGAGAGTCGGGTCTTTGTAGCGGATCGACCCGGATATTTATCCGGCCAAGGACTGTCACTCCCGCAACATTCCCCAAAAAGTACTTTGGGGAATATTTTTGCGGGTACAACAACAACAACTGGGTACCGATCCTTGGTAGCGGTGGATTGAGAAAGAGCAAAAAGTCAGCCGGCGCCATATCAAGTGAATCCTTTGGTTGTTTGTTTGTATTTATGTGATTTTAATGCCAATGATAGCCCTGTTGGACGCACCCTCTCTTCCCTTCCCTTCACATAACGTTTACAAAATATTCCTTATTTATCATATGAACTTGTGACAGAAGTTCTGAGTACACAGTATCGCTATAGACAAAGCGAGCTGGCAATAGTACGCTGAATTTCAGTGGACTTTGCAGTGGCACCCGATCTGACGGATGTGTTCTGCGATCTTTACGCGCTTGATTTTTTTTTAAGGAATTCAGTTCCCTTGAAACTAGTCAAGTGTAGCATATGCCGATGATGTCGTGCTGATGGTACTCGTTTTAGTACTTCTTCCTTTCCTTCCATTTCGAGGTTCCCTACTTTTTTAAAGAAAACCATACAGAAAATTCAAATTTAAGGGGGAGTGTTCATTTAGCAATCGAAAGAACATTCTTTGGTATTTATTTTCTGAAGATTATCTCTTTCCAATTTTGGTCGCAGCTACATATCAGATGGTCCATCCGTTCAGTTCAATTTTCGTTGACTCTTTCAAGTATTTCGAATGGTAACTGGCGAATGATACACCTGAATCAAAGCAGAATTGGCGGCATACACTTAAGACTCTACATATCTCCACAGGAAAGAGTTGAATGGTGTAATCTGGGTTGCCAATCGGCCGGCACAAGACGCGAAATTATCTGCTCACCGAGGTGTGCTCTCAATAAATACATTGATTGATGCGACGCCGTCCTGTTGTAAGCAAATGTCGCCGTGAGCACGAGCTTTAATTTCAGGTATCAAATAATCGGTTATCGTGGCGCGATAACGGTGTTGTTTCTTTCGCATGTTACCCTTGGCTGGATAAAAACCGTGTCGGCCCGACTACCCCGGGCACTACGCGCGCGATTACGGTTACGTTCTCATCGGCATCATTTTTGAAGAAATATGTACCGTTGGTTCGACCGTCTCACAAAACAAGCCAAACCGTTAATTTTCCCTGTATGAAATGACAGCTCTTGAATCTCTTCAGGTCGCTCTTCGTCTCAAGAGCGACAATTTTGCTTGCTTATATACCTATTTTACTAGAAAGTGGACCTCATCTTTGAACAAAATGCGTCAAGTCGTTCCATACGTCAGCCCGAGTTGCTGCGAACGGCGTCGAATCGACTCTCCACGGTCTTCGTGTACAGTCTCAGACATGGCCGCTATATTTTCTTCACTGCATGCTGGACGTGGTCTATTCGGTATTAGCTAGTAATGAATGCTGAGTATCAAGAGGGAGGGAGCGAAGCGCGCGAAACACATTCTTTAAAGAACGTGAAGTTTCGTAATCAAGTTCAACGATTTGTAAACGTTGTTCAGGCGTAAATCTCTCCACGATGAAATGCCAAACAATACTGAACGAGAATAACAAGACAGCTTGAGATGACTCACGCGTGATCTGTCAAAAAAAGTCTATTGGAATCAGTACCCGACTTGGATCAACCGTACATTGATGGCACTCATAAGCAACCATCATTTCAGCTTCCTTCGCACAACATAACTAAAATTAGCCTATATACAGCAGGCGTTGAGATGGATACCGAACTGAAGTGGAAGTGTAATATTGGAAAATGCATAAAGAAGACATTTGTCTGCTTATTTCTATTTCACGTGGACACCCCGGGAACTAACAATTGGGTGTCATTCTGCTGTTCTTGCTATTTTGGGCCATTTGGAAATACCACGTGAAACCAGATCGCTCTCCACCTGAAAGAATATGTCACTTGGAACAGACTTTACAGGCTGTGGGGCTTCAAACCGAATATGGTTATGTGGATGTATTCGACCGTTGTTGGACCAATTCTAACAGATTTAATATTGGCAAATCAATTGGGATACGGAGTGCAAACTGAGCGGAGGTTACATAATTAAGTCTTGTCCGTAAGATGCACACAACACGATACTGAACAAACTGCCTATATATAAGTATAGACATCCTGGCTCGCAAAGCTGCCGGGGTTTCAGCTATTAGATTTGTAGAGAAGGCATTAAACTAAACAAGCTCACCTTTAAGTAAATCCGACTATATCTTCACAAAGCTAGATTTCTATTGCAGTTTCGGAGTAAGGGTACTCCCTTAAGATGAGTAAGGAAGTGGTTTTTTAGGAGCAGGAAACACCAGTTCGAACGCTACAAAATCGGCTACGTAGTGGAGGCTGAGGTATACACTAAAAACCCCCCAAAATCTCGTTTACCGAATACAGATAGCAGCTTCCAAATAGAAAGATGGTTTTGTATAGACCCGAAAAGTCAGGTTATACTGTTTTTTCATTACCAATGGTTAGCTCAAGCATCATCAAAAATTGTATCATAGGAAGAAGACTAAGCTCGCTAAGGAAAAACGTGACTAGTCCTCCGATTCGGTAACAACTTTTGACAAAATTGAAGCGACTCAGCCTATCTGCATGGCCAAAGAACCTCTTGTTGGGAAGAGAAAATTTCCACAAGCTTTGGGTTGCTACTTTTTGTACAAGTTATGTAGGTGACAAAGTCGGCTAGAAATGTGTCCATGATATAAAACCGGGTGAGACCAAAAATATTATTCATACTGGACTAGGACTATATACAATGATCTGAGTACTAGTTTTTGTCTGGTGATGGCCATTAAGGTGTGTATTTTTCAACTTAAAATTGCAAAAAGGCAAGGAGTACCTTTAATGGCATTTTCTTGTGCTTATAATGAGCTGTGGTAGATTCTCCTGACCAACTTTGACTATGTTGGATATTTTAAAATTTGGCTATAGTTTCGTATAAGACACCTTGGGCCAGGAAATCTCTGAAAAATACTGTCACTTCTTTCCTATTTGGATCGAATCCAGGCTCTCGGTGCCCGGAGACAATAACTCACCAACCCATATCCAATTTTTTTTAAGCAAACATTGGAATCAAAGTACTCTGCCATCTCTAATGAGCTTTTCATTTTGGTTGTCAGTATAAGAGGGAAATTTTATTATTACACTAGGAAATCCGGCCAAAAGAAGACTGAGTACGCATACCAATGACCAACGAACTCCGATGAGCTGCTACGAGCTTATGGGGAGCTTTTATTTCATGCTAGATCTGGATCTGTTTGTTGGTCTCGGACACTTGTTGGTCCGATTCGTGGTACTCTCTACCAACCACTCAAATGCCACATAAGTGAAGAAGAACATGTAAATTCTTATGCAAGACGTCATTTTATTTCCTCTAGAGATTTAACTTCTTCATCAAAAGTTTACAGCAAAAATTAGTATAATAAAATATATATATATGTATTCCGGCTTCATTGTTCATCAGTTATGTAATGTCATTATCATTCGTTCATCACCCTTAGGTACTACGAGCCACAACACGGTTGTCGTGACGTATAGCCACATCTACGATACTCATATTGGGAGTCAAGAAGTTGACCAGGCGATCAGCGCCAGCGCGCGAAAGACGGTCGAACGGATAGCCCATGGGACGGCGATCTGGATAGAGACGATCGCGCACGCCACAATAAGAAGCAGCATCACTGCAGGCGCCAACCAATTGTTGCTCGATCTGCAGAGAGAAAGAGAGAGAGAGAGAGAGAGAGAGAAAGAGAGAGAGAGAGAGAGAGAGAGAAAGAGAGAGAGAGAGAGAGAGAGAAGAGTATGAAAAATATTTATTGCATGCGATTAACACGCTCTTCTTACCCTGTCATCTTCGTAGTTGGAGACCATAACAAACAGCTCGCAGCGCATACCCTCGGGCAAACCTTTGGGAATGAGCATGTGATTGGGCCATCCGCAGCCACAGAAATTGAATTCGAGTTCCTCAGCGGTGCCAGCAGCTGGACGATTTACGTCCAGATTGCGGAAGGTGCGTTCGAATGGTATGGTTACGCTGGATTCGGTGGAGCGGCGGCGTATTGTGTTTTGGCCAGGATTCACTGAACGATCGATTGTAAGAAGTTGTGAATCACAACAACGACAAAAATGTAGTTCAATACTCACATGCGACAATGAATTTATCCAACTCGACCATAAGAAGACGCTGATCCTTGAATAGCATGCCCTGACCACGCTCATCGGTCTTGGGGCCCAAGAAAATGCGCACAGTGCCAAAACGTTGGGCACCACTGTCGTTGTTCACGTTGATGGTGTAGGTGAACGGCACGTGTTGCAAGTGTGTGAAACGCGCAAATACATTGCCGCGTGGCACGAAGTCCATGCCGCGTGACAGATCGACATCGGATTGTTGCCAGTAGGTTTGCAAAACATTCGGTTGACCACCTTCGGGGCTGACTTGGACGCCAGTAACCGAGATGCCATCATAGTTGAGCTCAGGCAGTGTGTAGGGTGTCAGACGTGCTTTGTGTTCTTGGAAGATATCGTCGATGTACGCATGCCATCTGTAGAAAACGGGATCTCTCATGGCTGTGGCAGAATCACCCATAACGCCAAACGACTCCAAATGACGGTGATCAGGATCGTGGGAGTATGAGATGAATACGTGACCCATGTTGTGGAAGTCACCGTAGAGACTGCGATTCGGCGAGAGAATCGAGGACTCCATCATGTTGCCCAAAACATCAATACCGCGTGCATTGTCCAATGGTACTTGGTTGCCACTTTCCTAAAATCATACAGTTTTGGGTTCAAATATATGTGTTATAAGAAATAAGAAACCGTTATTAGCTTACATCTGTTGCGAAACCTTGTGAGATAGCTTCGAAGATGCGATCCCGCCAGCGCTCCATGTCACTCACATCCAAATTGATTTGATCCAACTCCCGATTGAGATCGGACAGTTTCGTGTCCTCGAAACGTGGTGGCCAAGCACGGCTAGAAACCAACGAATCCATTTTTGGGAAGTAACCCTCCGCAATGGGTTCACGTAAATTGTTAAAGCGCACAACGCGCGCCAGATTGTTGCTGAAGCGCTCCATATTGTAACGGGCCACCACTTGTTGATGCATATAGTAGAAGAGCTCACCGCGACGATCCTTGTTCACCACAGCGCGGTCGCCCGCCTCAAAAGGATACACCAAATGCCAATGCCAATGATGCAGATTGATGCCGAGATCTTCACGGAAGTACCACAAACGATGTTCCGGCTCCAAGTCGGAAGCTGTGTAATCACGTGGTATAGTGATGGGCATACGCGAACCCTCAGGCACAACAGTGGCCTCCTCACGCACCTGACGGAATACACGCGAGTCCACAAATTTATCGGGGAAATTCTGCGCGAAGGAAGGCAAATCCAAGCCTTTAGTATCCGGACGATGTAGCAGTGCCACGGAGAGTGCATAATTGAAGAGGTAGGGATTTACACGATCACGTGCAAATACGGCCACGCTCTGCAGATCTTCAACGGAACGTAAACCCATGAAAATGTCAATCAAACGACCGGCAATGCGACGATGTGACGGTATGAAGAGCGAAAATTGTGCATCACGCGCCAGAGACATGGGTACGCGCAAGTCCGGTATGGCGATGTCGCGTACCGGTATGCGACGTTCTGCTTTCTCACCGAAACGACTCTGCACTTCAGTGCCAATGGGACGATAGCGCTCCGTGAGGAACTTGTCGGGCACATCGAAGACTGCGGCCTTGCCCTTTTCCATGAAAACGGGCTCGGTGGGACGATCGAAGAGCAGGAGGAGATTATTCTTGTCAGCCATTTTGGGTTTCACTTTTGAAAAACTTGTTGTAAAATTAAAATTTAATTTTTTTTTGTAAAAATTTCTAAATTAAGTTTTTAGAATTTTTTTCGCAGTTTTTTATAAACCAAAATTTGTTTAATATTTTTTAATAAGTTTTTTGATAAATCAAAAATTTTTTAATAAGCAATTTTATTTATTTTTTGATAAAACAAAATTTAGAAAATTTTTTATGAATTTAATTTTTGCCAAAATTAGGATTGCACTAAACGTACTCAACTGTAGTTCAGTGCGTAACTGATGATTTGGTTCGTGGAAGACGCGCTTTTATATTATTCCAAAACACTATTTTCGGTGATTTTTTTCATATGGAAAAATTGATAAAAACGTGTTTGTAGATAAGCCCCGAAATCATATTTAACAGTTCCTAATTTAATGCGGTTACGTTATCGCTCAATTTTGACAGTCCCAAAAATTGCGGTTACCATAGTGATAGCTCAATTACTTTCCCAACATCGATTTGGTTTTTGACACAAAACTAGCATTCGTTGGTGCAGTGAAGTGTGGGAAAAAATATTGTACCGATTTGTGGCAACTACAAAAAAAAAACTGATATAAATAAAATAAAATTCACTAATGATTTTTTCAAAGATTTAATGAGGAATTAAAAAAAAAATTTCGTGTCCACCACATTGTGTTAATATCATGACATGCTTCGAAATTTTAAATAAAATATTTTTTTCGCAAGAAAAAGTGAGCTTTCTCTGAAAGCTATCATAACTTAAAATATATCGAGTTCTTAGATCAATCGTTGAGGAAAATATTTCTTTCCTGACTTTAAGTAGTTTTTGAAATTCGTATTATAGAAGTCTCCCTTCGGAAACAACAGTTCCCAGACCGATTTACACTTCGTCCAGTGGCCTGTAACCTAAATATAACCAATTTTTTTTGGGCCCTATGCACCGAAATAAATTAAAATTTAATACTCTGATTTTACGTTAAAGTAATTTAACAATTTTAATACTTTTATTTTTTTTTTACTAAATTATATTTCAGCTTTCAATAGATAACGGTGTGTCCCAAAAATAACCGAACTTTTTGGGTATAAAATAGAATACACATTATATTATCTTTGAAAACAAACACAACGTTTGGAACGATCAACCAGCTTGCATAGATTTTTTTTATGTCATTTATAGAAATGTTCTTCAGTACCTCGGTTACGGCTGCTTGAATGGCTGGGATATGATCTTAAAATGCTCCCTTCACCTCAGTTTTTGAAATAAAAAATAGTCACATGTTGATAGATCCGGCGAATACAGAGGATGATCGATGAGAGAAATCCCTTTTTTCATTAAAAATTCGAGCGATTTTTTGGTCGTCATTTAATTCATGTGGAACAAATCGCGCCCAAATCTTCAGTTAAAATTCTCCAAATTGGGTTTTTACTCATATTCAATTCCTCAGCCAACATTCTCGTAGTAAAATTTGCATCGACACCAATGATTTCACAGACTCTTTCAGCACGATTACTAGTTTCTGGACGTCCTGCTCTAGGATCGTCATTTAAATCCTCACGACCATTTTTAAATCGTGTCAACCACGTATAAACTTGTGTACGACTCATACAATCATCACAATAAACTTTTTTCATTAATTTTTTTTTTTTCAAGTTTGACACAAAATTTTATATTTGCTCTGTGTTCCATTTTATTTCTGAACCATTAGTACGCTTTTCTGCGGATGTAGATATCTGCTATCATGTAGGGTACGAAGCAAATTGGAGCCAGTTTTAAGGGAAACGGTAATGCGGTTTAACTTGCTGGGAGAGGAGAGGAGTTCTGACAGGCCACTGGCTGATAGGACGCCACGCAGAAAGACTAGGGGCTCCCTATAGAAGATACTGTAGAAGCTGCACCCATCTCTTATGCGACTGTCCTGCTTTGACCAGGGCGAGGTTTCGTAAGTTTGGGAGTCTACTATGGTCTATCGATTATAGCTGACGTCAAAGTCATGGATCTAATGAGGTTCCTAAGCGAATCAAAATGGATGATGGTTTAAGTTTTGTGATATCACAATGGGTCTAAGTCAGGCGTATTGAATCCAATCTGCCATATCGGTAGTCACTGTAACCTAACGTAAGGTTGAACCGGCTGGCCCAGCGGGTCTCATTTGGATCCACAATATTGCCGAACACTATATACCACCAATTAAATAATATTTCCCAGCTACACTCTCTGTCCATAGATTAAAGAAAAACTGCTGCCCTATACAGGGTGTTGAGGCGGGAATTAAATCACTTTACTTTCAGTTGGTTTAAGTATAACTGACTCTACAATCTGTAGAGCGTTTATTTATATAAATTTGTAATGTGAAAATTTACATGCATGCATATGTGTAC